TGGATGGCCTAACGGTCTCATACATTGTCTGTGTATGTTTCATGTCTCTTCGTTAATCTGATCATCAGAAAAGACGTCTGTCTCATGGATTCTGCAGACTACAAACATTATCATGAGTTGTTGTAACTCTTTGATAGTATGACTCTTTAATTCACAGGGGTTAATATAATTGGTTTCAATGATTTCTTCTTGTTAGCGTTACTGATGTTCTTGAATACAAGATGGAGGTATTAACCACGGCGACAGCAACTTTCTTCAGCAGTGCTTGAGACTTCAGGAAGAGTTTCAGAAATTCGTCAAATCTTACTTACTTTTTCACTGGTACATTAGTTGTAACACGACCAGTAAAACAAAGAGTCTACTGTAAGTGAATGTTGCTAAAATTACAAATAACTTACTATAATTACTTAAGCCCGTTAACCCCAGTGGAGCATGAGCCGCCAACCAGTATTCTCCAACCTACTCTGTCCCCCGACTTCCTTCCTAATTTCAACCCGATTATTGTTCATTCTTCACATGTCTGTCTCTGAATCTCGGGGTGATATGTTTTTAGGTCTTCTTCTTTTCCTCTGACCCTGAGAATTTCAAGTGAGAGTTTTGCTTATGACGGAGTTCGGTGCTTTCTTCAATGTGTGTCCTATCCATTTACAGCGTTTCTTCCTGATTTTTTCTCTTCCACAGTAGGTTGTGTGCTGATAGTGTTTAGCCTAAAATTACAAATACTCTCTATAAATAGGTAATTATATAAAAATACATTTTAAGTATGGAATAGTAACAGTGTGGTGCACGCTACTTGTGAGTAGTATAGGACGCGAGTGAAAATGTAATGTCTGGCAGCAGAAGATGGGGAAAGATCAAGGAAGGAAGAGTGGGAAAACAATGGAATTTGTATGAAACGCATGAATAGTAGTGACAATGGATTGACGTTTTGCAACAGGAACAGTCCAGTTCGATATGATGAACTGATCTTTTGCAAATGAACGATTTACGATATGGTTTTCCTATTTTACTGAGTAACTCTGTATTTTTCGTTGGGATCACCTTTTTGTGGTGTGACGGTTTACTGTTGTGGAGTATATTACCATTGTAATCCAGAGAGTTGGCTCTTAGCCTTCTCCAACTCGCTTCGCCCATTCGTTCACATTGTAACCCATGTAGTTGGCTCAAAAGCCTTCTCCAGTTCACGTCGCTCCATTCGTTTTATTCACTGCTTCTCCGCTTCGCTTTGTGGTGTGTCCCGAATAAACGTATTCATCACTACGAATTCATCGTCTGATTTATAAACCGTCAGACGCTACTTAGTGACGATCGTCTGAACGAGTTAGTTGCCTAGCTTAAGAACACGCAGTAAATCGACATACTACATACTCTCTAAATGTCATTCCGCTGATGATTCTGACAAATTTGTGGATTTCAAGATTCTTTTTGATAGAACGAGCTTACTTTAAACTACTACTCAAATTGTATACTAACAAATTAGTCATTAATAAATAATAATTGACTCACAAAGTTTAAATTTAAATGTTAACTATGTTGTATATTATTAAAACAAAAAATATTCTCGTAAAGGTTTAATACAACTAATCAAAGTCCATTAGTAGCTAATAAACTTGGAATTTTGTTTCTCTACAATTAACTAAATCAATGATCATTTTTTTAGTTCAAAGTTCAATCACAACAGAAATGAGTATGTTTTTTAAGGGTCTTTAATAAATCTAAGTAAAATTTGTTACGAATGGTTTGTGACTTTAGAGTAATTACGCCATATATTTGTTACCTTGACAGAGCACCAAATACTTTTGTAAAAGTCTAAAATGCTGACAACAGTGAGTAAACCAGTCAGAGTAATGATAGTTAGTACCTCATGTAATTTGTGCCAGATATAAAGTTCATTAAAAATAGGCCTGTATATTATTTTCAAAGTTTTTTATACATGATCTTTAAAATGTTTGAATTCAATAAAAACCTCAGTAAGATTATAATTTAACAACGACCTTTGAGAGATGTTAAAGTGACCTTGAAGCTACTCACCTACTTATAAACTCTTGTGAGGAGGGATCCGGACTAGGATTTAGAGCTAAATGTAAGAGTTAGGAATTAGAATTGGAGAGTTTTCATAAAGAACTACCGTAACCTATAATACCGAAATGTTATTTAAACATTTGGATAGATGAATTTCGCGCCAAAATCCAAGACTTGCTGCCTCAAATGTGATTGGTTCATCCATAAGTTAATCTGACTGATAATTCTATTACCAAAACTGAAAAGTGAATTTAAAATGATGATTATGTCAAATGACAATTATAAATTGATCGCAAGACCAATTGTGTTAAGATTCTTGCGGCGTTGGTGGTGGATATTCGATATATTTCTACACTTCGAATGCTGTTTGTCCTGAAAACCATTACCCTAAAATGCTCAGGGATTGTCACAATTCATCTTATTATTTCAAATATCAAAATGGTCGACACAGTTGTGTGCTTTCCAAAATGTGTGTCCTATCCACTTCCACAGCTTCTTCTTGATTTCTTCCTCCACTGGAATCCGGTTTGTTCTCTCCCACAGTAGGTAGATGATGATAGTGTCTAGCTGAGGGATTCGAAATACTGTGCTTAGACAACTGTTAATGAACACTTGTATCTTCTAGATGATGACTTTCATAGTTCTGCGGGTTTCCTTTCCATACAGTGGAACTTCCTTGACATTGATGTTAAAAATTGTGACTTTAGTGTTGGTTGATAGTTGTTTGGCGTTAGAGATGTTGTTCAATTGTGGAAATACTGTCCTTGCTTTGCCGAACCTAGCCTTCATGTACCAGTGACACTCTCTGTTAAGTAAGTTAATAAAAAGTAGTCTAACCAAGTTAAATGTAAACAAATCCAAATGTATGCGAGATGATGTATTATATTGTTGCCATTCATTGTGTGTTTTCAAGAGGTTTAAATAAACGTAAATATAAATACCTACCTTTCCAACACTTTCATTCAATCTCATCAAAGTTTCTTAAGTTTGTAAAGAAATTGAATGACAACACATTGCATCATAGTTTATATCAGCTTGTAACAGAAGCTCTTGATGGATTGATAATCCTGACTGATAACAGGAACCCAACTTCTAATAGGTGAACCATACATTTTCTTTTTATTTCAAGGAATAGTTCAACATGTGAATAATTGGTAGGCTACTGGTTTGCAACGGTTAGTATTTTTATAGTATTGCTTATATATCCTTGAACTACCGAGTATGCAATGCTATTGTTAGAAAACGTGTATTAGGAAAGGATGGCAGATCAACGAATGAGGCATTGAAACTTCGTCAGTTGAATTAGTTGGCACATGTGTTACGTATGTGTAATAACCGACAATCTGGACAAGCGATGGTGCTTGGTGTAGGGGTAGGCTAGAAGAAAGCTAAAGGAGGCCAGACCAAAACATGAAACCAATCCATGAAGTCACTGACAAGTTGACTGAATCATATTGGTAGGCGTAGACTAACAGGTTGGTGTGCGCGGATCGTGCGTTAGGAATGGTTAGTGACCTTGAATGGAATAACCCAAAATCGTTTACAGTGGCACAGTTGCTTCCATTATTTGTGTTCTCGAAAATCCTAATCTTCTGAATACCTCATCACCTTCATCTCTTTTCTTTTTAAATTAATCTCACCGGATTATACCCTCTTGAACAGTATCTTCGAACCCTAATCTTGTCTATTGCCGCTAATAATTCCACTGCATCTACCACTATAGGATTTGAATTAACAATCTCATCTTTGTGTGCTAACGTGTTATGGCAATTTGAACTACTGTACGTATGTACGAAGTTCTATATTGTTTCTGACTAACTAACTGACTTGCTTCCACTGAAAATAGATGAGTGAGGCAAAAGTGTACACATTTCGGAAAACTAACTATACCTTCGCCAAAATCTATACATTTTCAATCTGGTCATGACTTGTTCGCATAATTACCCCGGTAAATAACTTAGGAAAATGGATTCGTTCCACTAAAAATGGTCATTAAATTCAAGCATTTTAATTGTGATTCAAATAATGCCCAATAGAATTTTCACAGTTCATTATTGAAATCTTCAATTTGCATGATGAAATCAAGGTCTTTCACTGGAAAAGAAAATGGTTTTAAATTAAGGTAAACTATCTGTTCAAATTTTTTCGGTTGTTGACATATATATTAGTATATAGGAAGTAATTTAACATATAAGTTACTAAAGTTCCTACATTTCATAAGTCAAAAACTGGAATCAAAACTGTCTGGCTTCATTTAAACAATTATTTAAAACACAACCGTAGATGATAATTCGCGTTCTGGTAAACGAGATACCTTAGAACAGTTCAAACCTATGACTCTTTCAGGCATGGTTCTTATGCCTTATAAATATCATGACGAGCAATCATAGCAGACTATTCCGTCAGAATACCATTGTACACATTTTCCAGATCATTGAAATACCATATCTGGTATGGTTCAATATTGTTAGGAAAGAACCCGAGGGTCCCGGGTTCGAAACCTGCAAGTGGCAGGAATCGTGGATGCGCACTGCCACTGATGAGTCCCATACCCGGACAAAACGGCCGTACAGTGCTTCCAGGTATCTAATAGTGGTCTGACAATGATTGATTGTTGATTTCAAAAACACTAATCACCATAATTCTAATTAAAAATATGGTCTATTATATATATATCGATTCATGATTCCAATTATCTACAAGAAAAAAAAATTTTATCGAAAATATATCATCTCAATAAAATATTATTTTAAAATTGTTCATTACATTTAACTACTATGATTATATCATCGTTTACGTGCAAAATAGATTTGTAACTGAACAAAAAAGGCGCTATCCATGATATCAATAAAAAGTTCAATGTATCAGTATGAACATGACTAAATTTGAATGTTTTTTTTTAATAAATCGAACTTTGATTTGTTTTAAAACTTTACAGCATGATATATAAAGGTTTTAACATTTTTATATGAATTTTTAAATAATTTTAAAAATTTTATTTATTATGACTACTATAAATCTTTTCATTTTATCACTCTTGTTTATAAAATGTGAATCAAGTAGTCTGTTTTTAAATATTAATAATGTTAATACTACTATTAACAATAAAAGTAGTATAAATGATAATAATAATAATAATGAAAATCGCATAAATTATCATGAATTCTGGACATTGTGGAAATTAAAATATAATCAATATTATGTTGAACCAATGGAAGAATTGAAACGTTTTATTTATTGGAAAATGAATACTGATGAAATTTTATTACATAATTTAAAATATGATTTAAATTTAAAATCATATCGTAAATCAATAAATCAATACACGGCAACAGATTGGAGTGAATTTGAGAAAAAAAAAACCAAACGGAAATTTAACACATTGACATTGAATAAAAAATATTTACAAAATAAAATTGATGCACTTTCTATGAATAAATATAGAAATTTCAATAGAATAAACAATGATTTACCAGATAATTTTGATTGGAGAGATAATGATACAGTGACTCCAGTAAAGACACAAGTGAGTTATATTTGATATGATATTTTTCGACATTGTGTACATGATTGTTATTAGGATTCATAACGAAATGGTCTGTGCTGAAAAAAAGTAACCTGGAGTAGTAAAATTTACTTACTTACACCTGTCATCCATCGTTGAGAATGGGCTGACAGGCAGCATACTGATACTAGTTTATCCTCCGCTCTGCATCCCATTCTATACTCAGTTTGTTCCCTAGTTTGTCTCGTCTTCGTTTGCTTTGAGAATTCCAAGTGAGGGCTTGCCTCATGACACAGTCACTTAGTTTCCACAATATGTTTCCGACACACATCCAGCTCTCTATTCTGATATCTCCCTAATTTGGAATCTGGTTTGTTCTCTTCCATAGTAGTTTGTTGATGATATTTTGTGATCAACAAATCTGGAGTATCTCATGAAAATAACTGTCAACCAACCAACATCTGTATTTTTTTGGAAAGTGACTTTTTTGTAGTTCTCCAAGTTTCAGTTCCATACAATAGAGGTGTCTAGAAAATTTATACTGGAAATTGTGACTTTGATGTTAGTTACTGGTTGTTTAGAGTTCCAGATGTCTTTCAACTGTAAAAAAAATCACACCTGATAAAATCTAAAGTACAATAATCTTAGTTTTATAAATAAATTTCTCATTTGTAGCAATGTATTAGTATCATCTTTGTTTTCAAAGAAGTCCTTATAAAGTGGCCACTTCATACTTGATTCATCGTTGTTTCAGGTTTTGTGTTTTGTTCATTCATTACGCTGTTATTTCAAAATTGATATCCAGCGCATAGAAGTGCAATTTTAACACTTCTCACATCTATATCAACTTTGCTACTTTCGAGATAATAGTTGTACACGAGAATTTTTCAGTCCCTAAATGTTTTACTAGAATAATTTGCAAAAATTATTCTTTTCCGTTACTTACTTGCTTACTTACGCCTGTCAAACCCCATGGAGCATAGGCTGCCGACTAGTATTCTCCAGCTTACTCTGTTCTGGGCTTTCCTTTCCATTTGTGTTCAGTTTTCGATCAGTCTTCTGATGTGTTATTCTTTTCCATACAGATCATTTATTCGAATAGCCTATCAAACAACAAATGTTTGATACATTTTCATCAGCAGATAAGTTTGAATAATAGACTCGTTCGGGGTGCAGACCGGTGTCCGGCAAATTTGCCTACTCTCAGCCTTCTTCTTTCTCTTCATGATCGACTGGATTATGAAGATGTCAATATTTGAAGGGAAGGACTGTAAACAGTGGACAGCTAGGATGCAGATGGACTATCTGGATTTCGCAAATGATCTGACTCTTCTACCGCACAAACAACAACAAATGCAAGAGAAGGCGACCAGTGTAGCAGCAACCTCAGCAGCAGCAAGTCTCAACACAAATAAATGTAAAAGCAAGATTCTCCGATGCAGAACTACATGCGCTAACCAAACCACTCTTGATGGAGATGCCTGGGAGGACGTTAACACCTTTACATATCTGGACAGCATCATTGACAATCAAGCTGGATCCGATGCAGATGTGAAGGCGCAGATAGGCAAAGCAAGAGCTGCATTTCTACAACTGAACAACCTCTGAAACTCCAAAAATTATCAACCAACATCAAAATCAGAATTTTCAATACAAATTTCAAGTCATAATCCAGAAGATACAAGTATTCATTAACAGTTGTCTACGCAAACTACTTTCGATTCGTCGGCCAAACGGTATCAGCAACCGCCTACTATGAGAGAGAACAAACCAGATTCCAGTGGAGGAGGAAATCAGGAAGAAGCCGCGGAAGTGGATAGGAAACACAATGCGGAAAGCAACCAACAACATCGCAAGACAAGCCCTCACTTGGAGCCCACAGAGTCAAAGGAAAAGAAGAAAGCCAAGAAACATGTTACGCTAAGAAATAGAAAAAGATATGAGAAGAATGAACGAAAATTGGACAGAACTGGAAAGGGAAAGCCCAGGACGGAGTAGGTTGTAGAATAATGGTCGGCGACCTATGCTCCATTGGGGCTGACAGGCGTCACTAAGTAAGTATGTAAATAAGTAAAATGAGCTTGAATACTGTTTACAGCTCACGTACTTACTGACCAGAATATTCATGATAACTAATTTACCATAATCATCATCATCATCATCATCATCATCATCATCATCATCATCATCATCATCATCATCATCATCATCATTGAAAACACCTACTGTCTATAGATTTAACTCATTTAAATTATTATTTCTGTTTGTTCTTTTTTCTCTTCAAGGATAACTGTGCATCATCATGGGCAATGGCTTCAGTGGAAGCATTAGAAGGACAAATTAAATTAAAAACAGGAATTCTAACTGCATTATCAGCTCAACAACTAGTTGATTGTATTGGAGATGATGAATGTGAAGAGAATTCATTAACTGTGGCATTTGATTATATAAAAGAGAAAGGTGTTGAATCTCAAGAAAATTATCCTTTTACTGGTGAAGTAAGTACACTGATTGATTAGTGTATTTGATAAAAGCCATAGCAAAAGAAAATTAGAAGGGTTAGAGTTAAAACATACCTTAGAGTAGATGATTAACGCTAAGAAACTTAAAAACTAGATGTAGCTGATAATCGACTAATCACAATAGAAAAGAAACATTCTTTTCATATCTCCATCCAGTATTCGGTTTGATGTACTCTTTAGTAAATCTCTTCTGTCTTAATTTTATGGAATTTTCAAGTTGAAGATATCCTCGTGATATAGTCTGGCAATTTCTGCAATGTGTGTCCTATTCACTGCTAGCATTTCTTTCTAATATCCCCCCTCATCTGAAAGTTGGTTAGTCCTCTCCTACAATAGGTCGTTAATGATAGTGTCTGGTCAACAGATCCGAAGTATCTTAAGTAGACATCTGTTAATAAACACTTTTATCTTTTAGATAATGGCTTTTGTATTTCTTCAGGTTTCCTCTCCATACAAGAGAAATGTTTTAAAGTTTGTATTGATAATTGTGACTATGGTGTTGGCTATTGGACAATTGTTTTAAGTTGGAGATGCTTGTTAACTGTTGGATTGTTAATCCTGCTTCATCAATCTATGTATTCCTAACTGCATCAAATTCACCTTGTTCACCAATGTTTCAACTCTTACCAGATCATTGCTATCAGGAATGATTTGATTGGTGCATAGTTTTTTTAATCTAAGGATCTCACTTTGTATATCGCGTACGTTGAGACCTACTACTGCAGAGGCTGGTGATACACTGGTCACCTTCTCTTGAATTCGTTGTTGCGTGTGCGACAGTAGAGCCAGATCATCCACGAAGTTCAGATCGTCCAGCTGTCCACTGGATACCGTGCTTCCCTCCATATGTTGACGTCTTCATAATCCAGTCGATCACGTGGAGAAAGAGAAAGGGTGAGAGTAAGCAACCCTGCCTGACAACGGTCTTCATCTTGGACGTGTATGTGACCTGTCCCTCGTTTGCAGTTTAATCCATCACAAGAATTCCGTATGATGTTGACTATCTTCTCAGGCACGCCGTAGTGTCGAAGAAGCCTCCATAGTGTTTTCCTGTGCACACTATCAAATGCTTTCTCATATTCAATGAAGCTGATGTGGAGTGGTGAATTCCATTCAATTAATTGCTCCACAATGATCCGTGATGTTGCAATTTGGTCAATACACGATCACTTCTTAAAGCATACATCCTGCTGGTCTCGAAGTTGGGCGCCTACAGAGTCCTTCATTCTGTTCAGCAGTACCCTGTTGAAGTCTTTGCCTGGTACTGATAGAAGAGTGATGCCTCAGTAGTTCTCACACTTGCTGAGATCGCCTTTATTTGATATTTTGATGAGGTATCCTTCTTTCCAGTCAGTGGATACTTTTTCTTTATCTCAGATTTTGCTGAAGAAGATGTAGAGTATCTTCGCATTTATTGCTACATATGTTTTTAGTAGCTTGTCATATGTCTAGCCTCTTTTCGCCTGACTAAAGTACTTAGTCACGCCTCATCGCATTAAGTTAGCTTACTCACCTTCTCCACTTCACTTCGCTTTTATCTTTTGTATTTTCATGTCTGTCTACGTGAACGATTGAATGAAATGAAACCATCCAACTGAATCCTTACTTGGTTTCATTTTATCAATGCCATGTAGTGGAACGAGTCGAGGTTGACTATGAACACCACTACACACCAATCACTTTCCAACCAAAAATCGTAATCCCGTCGTGAAACAAAGACAGAGAAGAAGAAGAAGTAATCCAGAAAAAAGGCGTATATTTTGTTGGCGATCTCGCAGTATCGAAAGAATACCGAGATCGTGCCAAAGGATATAGGTGAAACTATCACAAGCAGAATAACCAAGATGGCAACGAAACAATCGGAAAGTTCGCGTACAGACTGTGAATAAACAAGGAGTTCAGTAAAACAATCACTGATACAATTGATCATTAGTAATAATGAATGTTTCTATTAAAAACAAATCACATTCTCTTCGTAAAAATGCGGTCACTACAGTTGTACGAAAAGTGAAGAGAAGTACTATCCCATAACCTATTCAATTGTTCGTCTAGAATGTTGTCAGCTGGCGGGCCACAAAAATGATTCAAAAACATTAATGAAGTGTCATAGATATTCTCTTAAATATTCTTTCTCAATATTATTCATAGTGTTGTAACAATTACATTAAATATTTTTTTAAAAATTAATTTTTCAGGTAGGAAATTGTACTTATGATTTAACGAAGGCTACAGCAACTTTATCTTCTTATAAACAAGTAGAAAGTAATAATGAGATTGAACTACAAAAGGCTTTATATAACATTGGTCCTATAGCAGTAAGAATTTCAATGACTCAAGATTTTCTTGCTTACGAGTAAGTTCCATTGTTTTTGTTAAGATGATTATTGATTTCGGGTTTTTTTTGCACGAAATGCTACATCTTACTTAAATAAAATCAAACTAACCTTGTCAGACTAGAAGTTTTTCGAAAATTATGCAACACAACTTTACATTACAAATGTTTGTAATTTCATACAAAAAGGAGGGGAGGACAAAGAACACTAGAGAATTTTTAGAAGCTTGGTAATCAGGTCAATCAGCAATCAACAAACACATCGGCATTGACCCAATTTATCAACCAATCAGGAAAATCATAGGTGACAGGATCAAGAATTAGATCAATGGGGGATACAATCAAAACAAAGGTTTAAACAATGACACAATTAAGGTCAACAGCAACCAATCAAGATCGAGGTTAACAGAACAAGCTACAGGTCGAACGTGGAGAAATTCGAATGCTTCACTTCTATCTGAAGTTTGTGCTGATGATGTTGTTCAGAAGAAGAACAATAAAAGCTCCACAAACAAAACATCCAGCTCAGAGAACCAAACACCCACACAGAATAATAAAACAGGGTAAAAATATTTATACATATATATGTTGCGCAACGTTATGGATTGATTGAAGTTAAACATTCACACCAATGGATGCGAATTTAGTAGTCTAGATGTTAGCATAGCTGTTCATTCGAAAAACTTAAGGTTCAAGGTTAGATTCCCACGTGTGAGCGTCATGGATGCTTATTGATGAGGAGTCTAAATACTAGGACAAAACTACCATCCAGTGCTCCTTGGTATGGTATAAATTATAGCAGTTCGTGATTTCAACGATGAGAACTCTGATGTATTTGTCTTTTGTTCTATTGATTTTTAAACTACTGATTAGTTCATCTAAAGTTGTGAATGAACGCTTCAACAATCTCAAACTCTCTACAATTTCTTAATGAGTGTATGATAACTGCTATCTTGTTGACCAATGAAAATGATATTGTAGAATGTAAATGTACGCTCTGTAAATGGTCAAACTCTTAGTCTTGCTAATAAGCCATAATCTTAGTAAAACCGAGAGGATTCGTAGAAATATTCTATTCATAATGTTTATAATTGAGGAGTATGCATTTTCCCCGCCCTCGGAAAATTAATTAATTTTAAACCACTACTCTCGAGTTATTATTATTTACACATCTTTCAACCATCTCAATAATCATTCGCTTATAAATTTGATTTTTATTACTTGAATGCGTATGTGCATTGCTTACTTCGCGTATCACACACAAGTCTCGCTCTAATTATCACTACTTAGTCACACTTCATCACATTGAATTGGCTCGCTTCACTTCGCTTGCACGCTTTGAGTTTGCATGTCGATCTACGCGAACGATTGTATGAAATAAATTCATCTGCAAGACCATATTTGTCACCGTAGCATAAAACAAGGTTCGCTTAAGTAGGATATACAGAGAGAGATTGAAGGGAAGAAGTGGTGAGCTCAATAACATAGAGTTTCAGGTTACTAAGTGTCTATGCTGTAAATAACTCCCTTTGATATATAAATAAATTGATTTTTCATTATAAAATTATGGGGATTGTAAAATTTCATTGAAATTATCAATCGATCATTGTTAGACTACCGTTATAAAACTTGGAAGCACTGAAGGACTGTTCCGCCTTAGTTTGGGACTCATCAGCAGTGAGCATCGGTGACCCTCCACGACCTTCGGTCTCGCACATGAACTCTTAACCTCTAGACTACTGAGCTAGCATTGAAAGGTGTTAACGCTTAACTTTAATCAACCTAAGGTATTGTACAACCTCAATCATTCTTTTCAGTAGGTAACTGCTTATAACCGACAGACGTCAACTCCACAGATCACGGCTTCTCAATAAAAGGTCGAGAACTTACGAAACTAGTTACTTGTGAGCACATGTTAATATGTTATAGTTGAAAACAGAAACTAGTATTGTTCATTACAAGGGAAAGACACTAAATTTTTAACCAATGGTGCATTTCAATTGACTAAACCGAAAGAATAAAATGAAATAGTAATCTAGGTGTTATAGACAGATGCCGTACTAAAAAAAAGTGTTAAATTGAACATATTAAAACACTGAATTAATGCATGAGATCTCAAGTTCAGCACCTTGATAACAATAATAAATGCTATAAAGTTTTATGTAGTCGTCTTTGAGCTACGGGTATAGTTAGCCAATCAGTAGCGATTTAATAAGACGGCCGGTCGTTGATTATCAGAAAATATCCAGAAGGAGGGCAGATACAGATCATCGGTTAAGAAACGGGCATTTTTTCCACTTGTTAGTGACCTAAAGGATTTGTTCCATGTTTTGGTCTGGCTGCCCCAAACATTCTTCCAGCCTACTCCTTCATCACAAAGCACCACTCGTCGAGGCAGCCGGTGGTTGAGCATTCGTAAAACATGTCCCAATCATCTAAACCGAAGAACATTCACTACAGTCAGATGCAACGTAGAACTCCGTAAGTAAGTATACCAGTTCATGTTTCCACACCACATTAGCACGGAAACGCAACTGTCAATTCAAATCCAATGGTAGAAGAGTTAGTAAGGGTATTAGAAGTAGTCGGAGAGGTTAAGATTAGAAGATATTATTCAAGAAGTATTATTAAGTGAGAAAAGTTTAGAAAGTCAAAACTAGAGGGGTTGAAGAATCCAGAAGATTAGGATTTGAGAGAAGACAAAGAATGAATGCACCTGGGCCATTGCGGACGGTTTTGAGCCATGTCATTCAGGGTCTCTAACCATCGATTATTATCATCTCGCGGACCACAACCAGGTAGTCGACAACTACCGACATGGCTCAGTCCACTTGTCAGTGACTTCATGGATTTCTGAAATGTTTTGGTTTGGCCGCCCCTAGCTTTCTTCCAACCTACTCCTACACTACAAAACAAAGCTCTTCGAGGCAGTCGGTGGTTAGGCATATGCAACACATGTCCCAACCACCTCAACTGACGAATTTTCATTACTTCATCTATTGATCTGCCATTCTTACCTAGCACCCATTTCCTAATAACAGCGTTGCTCACTCGGGTGTCCCAGGTTATACGAGCAATGCTTCGAAGACACCTATGATCAAAAACCAGTAACCTACCAATATCCTCTACTCTTAATGGTCTGCCTGGCATGGTAGAACCTACAGGAACATATGTTCCGGTCAATATAGCTCGGCTGGGTCATCACCGCATCAAGGTAGCAGCGACGATCGGGAGACTAGTATATGGGTAAATTTCTTAAGATTGTGCTTAACAGTTACAATGTTTGTATAAAATATTGAACTCATTGTTCATTAACACAAGTTACTGTTTTCATCTTTAACAAATTTAAAGTGTTTCATTTCAACAACTTTTCATGAATTTTCTATTTTTATAGAAGTGGAGTTTTATTGATCGATACTTGTCAAGATAAAGAACCATTCGAATCTGTTTTACTAATAGGTTATGGTATAGAAAATGATCAACCATATTGGTTAGTGAAATTCTCAATGGGCGACCAATTCGCTGATCATGGTTATATGAAATTAGCTAGAAATTATGGAAATATGTGTCATATTGCTAGTTATGCATATTATCCTGTTATATGATTAACAGTAATAATAATAATAATAACAAACTGAGAGGATAAAAATATCAATGAAATGCTTAAAATTGAATATGATCTTTTGTTTTAAGTGACAATTTCACTCCTTTTTTTCATTTTGTTTCTAAAATGTTTCGATTTGTATAATTCAATTTAAAATGATTTGAATTATGCGGTTGTTTATACTTGGATTGACATTTGATCAATCTTGGTTAGTAATATGAGCTTTTTATAGAGGATATTCTTGGTTAAAGCTATTAAGATGTGGTGGCCAAAGTATCACTAGTTTCGTGATGGTCGATATCCTACGTGTTCTTAGCCTTCGTAATTCGCTCGTCTAGGCAATCGTCACCAAATAGTGAGTGCCTGACGGTTATAAATCAGAAGACAAACACACAAGGCGTTGAATACGTTTATTTTTGACATACCACAAAATGGACCAGCAGACCACAAATAAAGAGAGAAAGGCAAGCACATTAGTGAGCGAACTAGAGGATTGGTGAATGAATTAATAAGATTCAAATGTACATATATATACATAGGAAAATGTTTGAGTCTTCAAGATATTTAAGAGATTAACATTAAAGCGAATAGGATGAGAATGAATCATAAGCCAATCCTTTTCTGATGGATTTCTAATACCGGTTCCCTTGATAATGCGGAACAACTGTCTACTGTTACCTATCACCGCTGCCTTTTCCATAGCTCTCGCTTTTGCTACCCACCACTGTTCTCGATCATTGCGTAGGCTCCTTATCAGCCTGAGCTCAAGTTGACTTCGCTGTTTGTCATATTCAGAGCCAGGTGGGATGAGTTCCCGAGAGTCTATCAGTTCGGTGGATGCTTCTGAGATCCAATATTTCTCCCTAACCCTATAGTTTACCTCATTAGCAGATATCACTGCTGTTCTCATAGCCTTTTTGGATATTATTCCAACCTGCCTCCAGATAGGAATCACTTACATCGATGCCTAACTGTTTTTCTAGTTGCTCCTGAAATATATTCTTAGATATGCTACCATTAAATAAAACCCTAAGAAATTTTCTTGCAGTGTCTTTCCTACGTCCAGCAAGTCGCAAACCAATACGCGCTCGCACTGGACCATGATATGAATCTAAATGATAACAGTTAATTACAAACCAGTAATTGAGATACCCCATTTACTTGAGATGTTTTAGGATAACCTTCTTAGTAAGTTAGTCAGCAACAATGTGGAAATTCGTACGTAAGTACATCAGTTCAAGTTGCTATACCAAATTAGTACACAGAGATGCAATTGTCGATTCAAACCCCACAGTAGTAGATGTAGTAGAAGTATGAGCAGCAATCGGAAAGATTAGGATTTGAAATTGTTGTTCAAGGAGTAAAATCTAAATAAATAAATTTGAGAAGGATGAAGGTCATGTGGACAAACCTTCTATGTATGAACATAGATCTCAGAAATGATAGATTTATATTGAAATTTATTCTGTAATGAGAGATGTCATACAACGATAAATGATGTGCACATAATCGTAGTACATAATAAAATATTAAATTTCGAAACAATAATTTATAATATTAACTTACATCATACACAATTTGTAATCCTCAGTAAAAATGAAATAACTCGAAAATAAATTAAGCAAAACTTCAAATGAGGAATGTTATATTTATTTATAAGTTGTATATTAGTCAGTTTATTATTATCAGTGACAAAATAGAGACTAAGAATATCTCTGCTGTTAATGTTCTAAGAAAGTTCAATTCAAAGCATAAAAACGTCTAATACATGGAAGAAATACATAATATATAATCAGAGGAAAATATAAGTTAATCAAAATGAAATAAGGAGCGAATGATAGTAAATTATATGCATACAACATTGATAAATATTTGGTATTCTATACTGATATTCCGCACTTTTCCAAAAGTGACACCGGTACTTCTCCTTGATCTATGTATTGACATAACTCGAGTAACTGAAAAAATTTGATTATATTGTAAAAATTTAATAAACAGCTCACTTTGTCAATATCACGTTTCATTTTTATGACAGTGAGTTCACGTAATCGTACACTTTCAGCAAGATATTGGATACGGAGAGCTTTTCGTTTTCTGCAATCCTTGGCACTTTCTGAACTTCTTGAAGTTGTTGGAGCAGTTGTATCAGCAGTTAGATGATTATCAAAAGCCGTGTGATTATCACTAATTGGTCGTTTCATTTACCGAGTGTTTAGGAATAATGACTCCACCTAAAACCACAATGTGTGAAAAGTTCTTTTTTAGTTTATTCCGTGAAACATTTAGAATCCTTATAAAGGAAAAGAATTTTATGAATAAAAGTCTCCGAATTTAAAACTTGATAAAAACCTCAAATTTTTTTAAAACTTTTACTTGGTGAATAATAAATCTGAGAGGATGAAGTATTGTCACTAATTTAAACCTGGTCAAATCTTTTTACATAGTAATCGAACCGTTTACTAGAGTGAGTTGTTTGACGGTCATGAACAATATGAGGCTTTGAAATAAGAATCAACGTTATACACTACACACCTAGGGGCGAAACAGATTAGATGGAAGACAATTAATTAGCTACAACGTGGAAAGTACTGATGGACACATGGAAGATAACTTTATCCTGAAATGTTTTTTTGCTTCAGTCATACGATAGTGACTGATCGAAAATAAAAACTACAATTCATCAACTCTACATCATTGCTGTGATCAAATTTGTATACATACTTGAAGCACCATAAGGGATGCGATTCGAATAAACGGCTTATTGTGACAGTGACTACATTATTAATGTAATAACACTTGCATAAATACCACATGAATTGACTAAAGCGTTTTTATTTCTTTGGATCTAAGTAACAGGAAGCTTGGTTAACTTAATTCAGCTATAACTGGATGAAACTCCAGTTTCTCATTGTGATAACTACCCAGTCTTCAAACTTTGCAATTTTGTGTTTTGAAGAAACATAAACAAACATTTATTGTTAAATAAGGCAGGAAACTCTAAATTTAGGAGCTGTGTTAAATAACTTTCAGAACAGACTAAAAATTTCTCCAAAGTTTGGAGTTTAGTGTATTCTCCACTATGTTAGCCTGAACAGTAAACGATGGTAACCTATGAAGCGTAAATAAAACGACCTCAGCAACGAATAATGAAAATAAAATTGTAATTTGGCAGAACTTATAAAGACTCCAACTGAATAAATAAAAGGTAGCGCACTAGATTATAATAGCACCTGCTTTCAATATCCAATACCGATATCCAATATCCAATATCTTTTTCACGAGCTAATATATACTCATCGACTTTTTAGCACTCAATTCTTGTTCGTCCGGTATGGTTCAAAGTGTTTCGTATTGCTCAATGGGTGGATGTCTAGCCACTCGACTGTCTAATACTAGTCAGTTGGCAGTTGGGTGTGAGTTTGTATGTGTCTGGATTTGAATGAAAATGTTTGTTTCAGGGCAGTAGGGTTTCTGGGTACCAGCAGATACTAAATTCCCAAACTGAATGACAGACAGTTGCAATGTGGAGAGTAATTAGGATAATACGGATGAAATTCTAATGCTAATATGATTAGGATTTCACAACTAAGTAAATCAATAAATAATTTGGTTTATTAATTAATAGTGAAGATTGTGAGAGAGGGCCAAAGTGTTAGAGATGAAAAGGAGACGGAGATAATATATGAGATAGATTAATGCGGTGATCGGGGGAGATGGTAATGATAACAACTAGAAGGTCTCAGGATATGCACCATGCACAGCTTGTCGAAGAGGGAGATGATAATCCGCATGTGAGTGCGTGTTTGTTAAGTCTCTTCTTAAAGCTGTTCACTGAAGGGGCTGCGGTAGCCTCGGCTAAGAGAACATTCCAAGTTGCGACGACTCGCAATGAGAAAAAGTGTACACGAATCTGAGTACTCGCTCTTTGATGTGCAATTTTTCAAGGATTCCATCGAGTAGAGTGGTGGTGATGCATCGGTCTGATGCATACGTTCGGATGGTTTGGCGTGTTTAATATGGTGTACGCCATGATAAGATCACCTCTGATCCTCCTGTAAATCATTTGGAATAATCCCAACTTCTGGAGTCTATTTTCGTAAGGTTAATTATTCAAACCTATCACCCATTTGGTTGCTCGTTTTAGAACCTGATTCCAGAGATTTATGTCTCTTTTAAGCAGAGGGGGTGCGATGACGTTGAGAACCTCCAAGTGTGAGAGCGCGTATCTCTTAAATAATGTTAGGAATAATTGTGACGTGATAGCACCAAATTGTCTTCGCATAATGTGAAGAGTCGCATTTGCCTTGGCTGCGTCCCCTATGTAGTTTGGACTCGTGTGGTTATTAAACCAAGAAACATTAGTGGGCGGACTTACACTGAGGGTGTTGGTCGTTTGTGTCATGTGAGGCAGAATACAAATAACGTGACACCGGTTGGTTGAGCTTTAAACCGTTTTCACTGCCCATTTCTCAATAGATGTAAGGTCATTTTGAAGCTCATTCAAATCATCTTTGCTTCTTATGGACTTCCAGATCTGCGTGGATCAATCCAGGTCGTCAATAAATATCAGGAAGAGAAGTAGGCCTAGGACGGTCCCCTGTGAAACTCCCGACGTGGATGCATGCCAGTTCGCGTGCACTCTATTTACCTCCTATCCTCTCTTAACTGAAAATGAAACGTGCAGTGATGCAAATATGTGATAACTTACGCAACTACACAAAGCATTAGATGGTGCAGCGATCAGCGATAAAGGAAGCTTAAATTGAATCAGCAATTTATTTGAAAATGTAATTTACTATTTAAAAATTGTGCTCCTGGTCAATAAACATTCATTTGCGAATCAAGTGTATTCCTTGATGTCTGGATCCAATACACTTTGTTTCGTTCGTAGATTCAGGGCCACACTCTGCTACACATCCACAGCATACTACCTATAAGCCTTTTAGAAAATACATATCACAGTTTTACCAGAATTATTAGAATCTAAAGATTCAGGAGTCATATTCAACAGTAAACTTAGAATGATGAGTGATTGTAGGGGTTCGATTGCCAAATGCATCAGGATCTTATGGACTATTAGTTAGTCATTTGTTTAATTGGATGCGAAAAATTTTCGAGTACTGAACCCGAAATTTGTGGGAACGCATTTGGAATATGGGACCGAAGAATTAGGTCGGTGCTTCAAGTATGCGGCTAATATATTAGAACACAGATGGACCTAAACGGTGATGATCTCTCTGACCAATTTTATGAAGACGGATTGAAACAGCTCAATCTATTGTCATTGTTTTGACGTCGGTCTTGAGGTGATCTAATACTGGCTTAATGTATACCAAATGATGATTTTTTCGTCAATATGCCCTATCTCTTTCTTCTAAATAAGACTGATCATCCGAAATTTATTCGAAGAAATTTCAAAAACCGTTATGAAAATGTTTACAACTGAAGTTCTATTATAAGACATGTCATGTCAGAATTTTTTGCTAAAAAACTTACAGGTTGATTGTGATTTTCGGCCATTAAGTAGTAGCAATTGCAGTTTTAGTAGATCGAAGAACTGTGAAACTGCAGCATATGTTTTAATTATTCACTCTCCAACACTTCGGAGGTCGGGGTCATACAGGTGACCTTGCTGAGGTGTCTAATTCGTTGGTCACCTCAAATTGGTGAATCGAGGATGGTAAAGGTTTTATCCTTCCCAATGAAGTCCTTTACCATCAAGATAGTTATTCTGGTTTGTCTTCTTTTACTGGCTCTACAACTGATATTTTTTTATTCCTCTAGCGTCGATGGTAAGTCGTTTGCGCGGTGTAATTGTTTTTTAGCTTACAGAACTTCGCTATTGCATTATTTTTGAATAACCTTTTTTTAAATTACTTCTAAACGAACACGTTATAAAAGTGTATTTGGATGGCAGTTTTAATTTTCATCGTTGATGAACAGTTCCTTTGAACTGAATACTCCATAACCTTAAAATTTTTCTCTGGTAACTATTAGTTTGCATATGGTAACAGTATAGTGTTTAGTAGTTTCTACGATTATTCAGTTGATTTTTCACTTATAAAAAATAGTTTTAGGCGTTTCTATTGTACGTAGAAATTAGATTGCAGGGACACCATGTAAGAGGATTCCTCGTCAGTTACCGAACCTCAGATCGAATGATCTACGTACACATGTTTGTTACTACTGTCTTTTACTAAAGCATACAATGTCTTTTGTTAGTGAGGTCAGTTCTCAAAAGTTATATGAATAATAATGGTTAACAGTTGCCATCTATCCACCGTAGAAATTACACATTATATCCAATATCTTTTTCACGAGCTAGTGTAAACCAATTTGATTTCTTCGCGCTCGATTCTTGTTCTTTCGGTACGGTTCCAGATGTTCGGTTTCCATTCGTAAGTATAATATCCCTGTACTGGAAAGTTTTTAAAATTGTTGCAGCTCATATTCGAATCTGGAATGCAATTTAAGTTGGTTTATTTTCTGTTGTTGACTCCTGCACCTTTCTTTTACTCTGAAGGTTTCAGCTTCTTTCTTAAACTACATTAGGTAGTTCCCTAATCCACACAGTGTTTTCCAGGATACTAGACGTTGTACTTTGGACTGTAGCTACTACCTTGGTGGGTTGGTTGGGCTTACCTGTGTTAATAACCCGACCGAACTATACTGGCTGGAACTTATGTTCCTCTAGACCGTACTTTGCCAGACAGGTCGGTTGGAGAACGGTAAGGCTAAAAGCAACAACTTAAGGTCTAAGGTTAAAATCGTACTGCTGATTGTAGACGGGTATTGACAGCAATGAGGTATTTTGCTCAGTCAACCAGCATCTGCAGTAATGCTGTTTTCTCACAACGGAAGACAGGGGTTGGAAAATGTCGCACCTCGCCTTATCTCAGTCTACCGCGGTAATGCCTTTTAATGAGCTTAGTTGACACTATCAACTTCCGATGAAAAAAGCCCTGCGCTACCGGTATCAAGAAGTTGCCCCTTTGGCTATGTTGTCACGCTACCAGGTCATTAAGACTAACGTTAATCCAACTTTGTTCTTAGGTTTCTCAAGGCACACCCTTCCATAGTGTGTGCAGTCAGGAAGCGACATCCACCCTCATACCCGTGACAGCATACGAAAACAACGTGACAAAAATCCAATCCCTACACTTTTCAATAACTCTTATCTCCATGACTAAACCTTCTGACATTCATCTATCACCTCGCCCCACTCATGCAAGCGGTTTGAGTACACGGAACAATTCTTGGTCTCGTGAAACCGCGCTCTAAACTACATGTTAGAGCTTTTAATGTCCGGATATTCTGTTAAATAGGAGAACAGATTTCCTTAGCTAAGACTTAAGAATTTCGGGCCATCGATGCATGCTTCGTCGCCGAAAGGCGTATACATGGACCGAGTGGAATCATTAATTTGACCACACCTTCCCCACATAAAGAACCAACTTGGTTAACGCTTTGTGAATCTGGTATCCCTGCTGCTGTCATTATTGTAGTGGATGATTGGTCTTTCATCATCGTCGATAACAAACTCTTTGCTAAATTATTCTGATAGAGCTTCTTAGAAAAGGATTGCAGATCATTTGATAAAGTAGCGACTCTTCATCGGTTGAAGTGGTCGGGACACCTCCGTATGCTTCGGCGAGCGATGGTGCTTGGTGTAGGAATAGGTTGGAAAAAAGCGAAGGGCGACCAAACCAAAACAGGACATAAATCTATGAAGTCATGGACAAATGGACTTGGCCATGTTAGTAGATGTAGACTAACTGGTTGGGGTCCGCGAGACATGAGCTACTGATGGTTAGAGACATTGAACGACATGGCACAGGTGCATCCATTCTTTTTGTTCTCTCAAATCCCAGTCTTCTGAATTCCTTGACACTCACAACATCATGTTAATAACGTGGCGGTTCGGCGACGTGTGTTCAAACACAGTGACAATTCAATTGGTGCTACCATCTTGAAACACCGACTTTGGTAGCTTGGACATGTACTGTGGATGTCACCCAAGAGAAATTTCATATCGTGTATCATTTTCTAACTCTGGGATCCGTATTATGTCGTAACCAGTAATTTAAAATTGAATTACATGACTTATAATCATTTTCAATGGCGCAAGATTACTCATTTTCTGGCTTCCTCTACATTCTAAACTGAATTCCCCATAACTGTCTATATATTTATTTCATCGATTTATATTTTCTTGGATCCTATGTTCGATACTTCTTCTTTTCTATTACCAATGACATTATAAATACCTCTACTACTCTTAGATTTGACCTGAAATTCATCTCTTGGTGCTAATGAGTTATAGCAACCTGAACTGATGTATTTGGGTACTAGGTTCTATATTGCGACTCAGTGACTTTTGTCTCACTAGGCAGGCTGATTATTTATATGATTCTCTGGTGAATATACCCATAAAGTCAACGCTCCCCTAAACCATTCAACCTAACTTGGAATTATTTCTTCTGGCTAGCGTTTTTGTAGCGATGGGGTCGCCAACCCCATGCCAAACTATCTTTCTTTATCCAGGCTCGGGGCCTGGCAGTAGCCCCGGAGGCGCCGCAGGTGGAGTTAAGCCATCCAACCTGATAATTAGGAATACTGTGGGCTAATCCTCCAGCCATTATTACATTTCTTAACGGGTTGTTTACTTTACATATTTAGCATGATCAAAATGAATGTTCTTCATTTGATGAAAAATAGTTATAACTAATTACTTAATATTCCATTCATATAAAGTCATTCTGTACGGTAAATTGTACATATCGATTCAAATATATCTAATGGTAGAATCACTAACTTACTTAAGCCTGTTACCCCCAATGAAGCATAGGCCACTGACCAGCCTTATTCAGCCTATTCTATCCTGAGCCCTCCTTTCTAATTCTGTTCAATTGTTGCTCATTCTTCTCAAGTCTGTCTCCATTTCTCGGCGTAATGTTTTCCTTGGCCTCCTGCGTTCCCTTTGACCGTGAAGGTTCCAAGTGAGAGCTTGTCTTGTGACACAGTTGGGTGCTTTCCTCAATATGTATCCTATCCACTTCCAGCACTTCTTCCTGATTTCTTCCTCCGTTAAAATCTGGTTTGTTCTCTCTAACAACATAAGGTAGTTGCTGATTGTGTTTGACCAACGGATCCGAAATATTTTGCGTAAACAACTGTTAATGAACATTTGAAGTTCTCCAAGTTTTCACTCCATACGATAAAGTTATCTTGACTTTGGTGCTAGTAGTAGTGTTGGTCGAATTAATTACACAAAAAAATAACAAAATCGATGCCACTCTGTTTTTTTTTTAGTTTGTTGTTTATTTTTGTAAATTTCCATGAATAATTTTCAAATTCTCTTGTATGTTTTGTTTTTCTACTTTTGTATTTTAGTTGTTCATATAGTTGGTCGATTAAGTAATTCCGGGATGATAGATAATAGCGGTAAATTTGGCCCACATGATCGTTCCAAAAAATTCGGTGATATGGGTCGTCCAGTCGTATTGCCTGCATCTCTTCAAGCTGAATCGAAGCGCACATTTTATATCAATGAATTTAATCTAGTTGCTAGTGATTTAATTGGTCTACATCGGAATTTAGACGATTTTCGTCATCCTAGGTAATATTTGTGATATATAATTTTGTGTACGTTTTTAGTCTGTTTCACATGTTCACTTATTTACTTACTTACTTAGTTATTTAAGCCTGTTGTTACCCCCCAATGGAGCATAGGCTGCCGACCACCATTCTCCCACCTACACTGTTCTGGGCCTTTCTTTTCAGTTCTATCCAATCGCTGTTCATTCTTTTCATGTCTGCATCCATATTTCGGCATTATGTGTTTTTTGGTCTACCTCTTTCTTTTTATTCGGCCTTGACGATTCCAAGTGAGGGCTTGTCTTGTGACGCAGTTGGGTGATGCTTTCCTCAATGTGTGTCCCATCTACCTCTGGCGATTCTTTCTAATTTTTTCAACTTCAATTTGATTTGTTCTCTTTCACAGTAGGTTGTTGCTAATGGTGTTTGTCCAACCGATGCGAAGTATCTTGTGTAGACTTCAAAAATACTGACCATAACAAATTGTTCTATTTTTTCTAGTGAAAACTCGTAACTGATGTTCTTTGAGTGTTGAAACAGTTTAGGAGTTAACTTCACTGAAATCATTTGGTTATGATATTGAACAAGAGTAATTTTCCCCATAATAACAGGTGTTCCTTTTTAGTACGGGTTTCAGTGGTTGATAAGATGATTGAATTGTTCTCGCTGTTGCAATTCGTAGTGTTCGATTAATAGCGGTTACAACCTGTTGATTCATTTAGGTTTAACCTTTTGGCTGTCCACTACTAAACTTCAATCAAATACACAGGGTTCTTCTTGAACAAGTACAAAATAATCAATAACAATCCAAAATGACTATGCTCCACGCAAGTTATTAATTTGTGAGTTGACCAGGATACTGTGTACCTGCTATCAAGAGGCCACTCCGACCCTTTGACTTATAAGTCTAATCCACAAGGCAGTGGAGATTCGGTCTCATGGTAGCCAGTAACTAACACAACAGGTTCATACGTCATTTATTCTCTCACCATCTTTGAGTCCATAAGTACCATTGTTTTAGAATCATGATTTTCCAATTCCTCTAAGTAAATTCTCCCTACTCACAAACCCGATGGGTACATAAACAGCATCCCCGCTCCGAGAATCCAGTGAGTAGGACTTTCTTGACAATGATAAAGTACACGTGGCAATATAAGAGCATTTCTAAGGGAAGGGTGGACTCTATTCACTCTTTGCCGTACCACGGTAGAACATTGACCACTTTCCGCTTATCATATTTACTGTAAAAATAATCTCGTTCGTCAACTGAAGAATTGTTTTACAAATTCAAAGAATCTTTTCGATTATTATTAATACAGTCAGTCGTCGTACAATCTCTTATATCGTTCACATATCTAATATTAATAAACTGTCGATAATCACAACAAAACCAATACTCGATGAGTCATTTTTTTTGTTTAAACAAATAAATTATATCATAATTCAATAAACACACAAGAGTTTTATTAATAAAATTTATTTTCAATGTCATTTTTAACTATGCTGTTATGAAGGAAGGAAGAAAAAAAAGAAAATGTCAAATAATAATTTGTTGTTTTTCCATAAAATATGGTTTTACAGACAGAGACTAAAGATAATATGAGGACGGCCTTGAACGAACTAATATGCATGAATACTTTCTAGTTCAGTAAATAAATCTTTTATCATAAATTCATGTTTAAAACAATATCACTACACATCTACGGATATAGCTGCTAGCTGTGGAATGCAGGACGTGCGTTTCGTCCTATTTCGGATTAGTCTTCGGCTAGATGTACTGGAGTCTCAGGAAAGAAAAAGATAGAGGTAACGATGAATTCAGAAAATTAGAATTTCATAGCACAGAAAGAGTAAATGCACCTGCGCCATTACAAACGGTTTCGAGCCATGTCACTCAGGGTCTCTAACCATTGATTATTACCATCTCGCGGACCCCAACTAGGTAGTTTACACCTACTTAGACGGCTTAGTCCACTTGTCATTGACTTCATGGATTTATGCTGTATTTTGGTTTGAGCGCCGCTATTCTTCTTACACCACAGAACATCGCTCGTCAAGGTAGTCAATGGTTGCGTATAACATAACACATGTTAAAACCTCTTCAGCTGTTTAAGTTTCAATACTGCATCTTTTGATCTGCGATCCCCCCCTATCTTACTCTTTTCAACAAGCTCAACTACTTCATTCTCTATCACTAGTTTAAGTGTAGACGCAATCTCATCCTGAAGCAACATTTGCATTTTGAGGAGGAAAACCGCATCCTAAACGTGCTTGAATTGTTGCTTAATGTGTTCAACGTCTTCTTCACCTAATAGAACTATGTCATTGGTATATTCTAAGTCAACAAGTGAATCTTCTGGTAAAAGTTCATTCCCTGAACAGAGACAGACAGACAGATGATGATGAAAGTGTCGTATCTTAAAGCATATCTCCCCAATTCTAATCTTCTCAATTGATAATAAGCGTTTTCTGTCTCTTTTTAAATTTATCCCACTGCATTATACTTCGCTTATCATATCTTTGAACCCTCATATTTTTGGATTACCGCTAATACTTCTACTACTATGAGAATTTGAATCGACCATTCCATTATGTCTGTATGTTAGTATGGTATGTCAACTTGAACTGCTTTACATTTGGTTAGTTAGTGATGAATACATTTAATAATGAAACTTTAAACGCTGAAAACAATAAACACCTATCACTAGCAACTAGTTTATCTCGTTTTGTTTGTTCTGTGTGTGTGTGTGTGTGTGTGTGTGTGTGTGTGTGTAAATACATTTTCCGTATTAAAACATAGTAAGTAACGCTTATTATCTACCATATGACTGTCTTTTTTTTGTCAGGCTTTTTCATGAAAAAAATTGTTTTTACTCTCAATAATCTAATTACAATGTGTCTGTAAACGAGACAAAAACACATACAATAAAACGTAGAAAATCCAAATTTTCTTTTATTTCTTGTTGTGTTTCTTTTACTATTCACCGTATCAAGTTATTCATGTTCAATGTTCATTTTCATTGAATGGACGCCTTTTTTAAGGCGTAACACTTGAATTAGTTGTTAAATGAAATAGTCGAAAAAAACACAACAATAATGGCCGTTTATACTATGTCGTGGCGTACGGCAAACAAGACCAGTTTGTTTGTTTGTTTGTTAGTTTTTTAGTTTTCTCTTTTACAGTAAAATCAATGATAGTAATGTTTGCCAATCTATGCCGTGACAATTGATTATTGAACATTATTTTCAATTAGAGTTACGGAGATCAGTGCTTTTACACGTTGAAATCACCAATCAATCATGTTTAGACCACCATTAGACACCAGCACTGGGTGGCTGTCTCGTCCTGTTATGGTAATCATCAGCAGTGCCCATCCACGACTCCTATTGGTCGCAGGATTTGAACCAAGGGCCTTCGGTCTTGCATGCGGATGCCTAACCTCTGAACCGTTGGGCCGGCATCCAACGGTGTTCATGTCTAATTCTGATCAATTCTATCGTAAAGTATTTGAATGAATGCTGTTGAGTTGTGTTTCTTTTTCAATTTTTTGTGGAAAAAAAATATTCTGTGTAAACTGTAGAAAATCGTTTATTGTTTGTGTAGATTTATAGATGTAAGTTATTGAACAGTATTTATAATCATCCATACAATATTGAGGGTCAACACATTTTGCGTATTAAAGTGTGGTGGGCCAGGAGATTCGTTTGTTGACTTAGAATATACCGATGACATAGTTCTATTTGGTGAAGACGCTGACAAAATGCAAAGTTTTCTAACTCCCTTAAAAAACAATGCACATGTGTTCAGGGTGCGATTCTCTCTCTTGAAATACAAAATGTCGTTTCAGAATTAGCTTGCATCGGCACTCATTGATATTCGTACGTTACTAGTATTCTATCATAGGTTTCGTCGAAGCATTGCTCGTATATCTTGGGACAGCCAAGTAAGCAATGGTGTTGTTAGGAAACGAGTACTAGTTAGGGATGGCAAGTCGATAAATGAAGTATGGAGACTTCATCAGTTGAGGTGGTTTGGGCATGTGATACAAATGCCCAACCACCGACTGCCGCGACGAGCTATGTTTTGTGGTATTGAAGTAAGAGGTTAGAAGAAAGCTAAGGGCGGCCAGACCAAAACATGGCACAAATCCATGAAATCACTGACAAATGTATTGAGTCATATTGGTAGATATAGACTACCTGGTTGGGGTCCGCGAGATGCTAGTAATCGATGATTATAGACCCTAAATGACATGGCTCAATGGCGCAAGTGTACTCATACTTTGTGTTCTCTCAAATACTAATCCTATGGATTCTACATCACCTTAATCTTTTTCTTTTGAAGTTTATTTCACTAGATTCTACTTTTTGTATAATATCTTCGAACCCTAATCTCTCCGATTACTGCTAATACTTCTACTACATCTGCTACCATGGAATTTGAAGTGACAATTACGTCTCTCTGCTAATGTGGTATGGCAACCTGAACTGATGTATGCACGTACGAAGTTATACATTGTTACTGACTGACTGTTTCAAGATAGTAAGGTTAATTGAATTCACCTTCTATCTTGAACGTGTTTCACACATGCACTTATGTTCTCTAACGTCTTCCATAATCCTAAAATCAATTGAATACCATAAGTAATCATTGATTTTGTGATATGGTAGTGCTGTAAAATCAATCAGTCAGTCAGCTACAACGTGGAACTTTGTACGTACATAAAATCAATCAACAATTGAGATTATTGTTTGTTTTTTCTAATGCAAATATACGAACAAAGAGAGAAAGAGTGTGTGTGTGTGTGTGATTTTATGATTTACTGGTTTGAAATTCAATTCAACTCAACTAGTAGTAGTTCGTTTGGGTTTTTTTTTTTTTTATCTTTGCAGTAATTTTATTAAACGGTTTTATATGATATACTTATTTTTATGAATGTTTATTGATGGCATTTTATGGGTTACTTCCTATCTTCCACCTTGAAATCATTTTTCATAACATTGCATTATTTTTGTGTACACGGAATAAATATTTTTCTCCGCGACGAGCTATGTTTTGTGGTGTAGGAGTAGGTTGGAAGAAAGCTAGGGGCGGCCAAACCAAAACATGGCAGAAATCCATCGAGTCACTAACAAGTGGACTGAGTCATATTGGTAGATATAGACTACCTGGTTGGGGCGCGCGAGACGAAAGTCACCAATGGTTAGAGACTTTGAACTACATGGCTCAGAATCGTTTGCAATGGCACAGGTGCATCCACTCTTTGTGTTCTCTCAAATTCTAACCTCCTGAATTATACTTCTCGAGTCATATCTCTGCTCCCTAAACTTCATTACTGCTAATACTTCTACTATCGCTATCACTCTTGGATTTGAACTAACAGTTGCGTCTCTGTGCTGATGTGGTATGGTAACCTGAACTGATGTACTTAACTACGAAGTTCTGCGTTGTATCTGTCTGTCTCCGCAATCCCTACTACTGTCAGCCCCCTCAGGATTTACATTAAACATTTCATTAAATAATATGTATCAACTTGAACCTAAATACATATGTGCCAGATCCTACATTGTGTAGCATTAATTGCGTAACCGCCTATCTAGAGTGACAATCCTAACTGATGCTCACATGTACTCAGGTTCTACGTTTTGTCAGTCAGTCAATAACTACATAGAACTTCGTACATACGTACGTACATAAGTTCAAGTTGCCACACCAGATTAGCACAGAGACACAATCGTCAATTCAAATTCTATGGTAGTAGAGGTATTTGTAGTTTTGTATGTATAACTGACTAATTTCTCAATTGACACGATTGTTTTGAGGATGACAGATCCCCCGAATACTCTTGATAAACTCTTTAATTTTGTGAATTATTGTGGAAATTGGAATTTCTTGTTTTTAAAGCAAAAGCGCTCATTGTTATCTCCAGTTTGTGTTTTCCATCGGGAAGTATCTTGAAATGATGAAGACGATCTAAGACATCATTGGTTCTTTTCAACTTTCACTATACTATTTTGTGACTCTTTCAAGGCCTATTCATTTCATTGTGATTATGACTCAAATTGCCTTGATTGGTTTAACATTTTCGTATAAATATTCATGTATACTGGAGTAAAGCAGCCTAATGACGATCTAATCGAAAAGAACAATATTGTTCGCTTAAATGTGTTTTTCGATTTTTTTATTGTAAATATTACGCTTTAATTGAATGCTTTTTGGTTCGTTTGTTCGTTGTCTCGCAAACCATTTTGAGCCATGTTGTCGAAGGTTTCTAACCATCGATTACTATCATCTCGTGAACCCACAATCAGTTGGTCCAAACGAAAGATTTAAAATCGAATATGCATAGTGTATTTTTACAAAACTAATCATAAAGACACATTTATTCATTTATATTTCTTTGTTTTTGTTTTAAATTTTCCATAATATTGATCAAATAAAAGTTTGTACACTTTACAAAAAGACGTGATCTGTCAGTTACAACGTAGATCTTTGTACGTACATATATCAGTTCAAGTTGCCATACCGCATCAGTATAGAGACGCAACTGTCAGTTCAAATCACATAGTGGTAGCGATATTAGAAGTAATAGCAGTGATGGAGAAGAGAGATATTAGGAAGAGTAGGAAGGATTTGATTTTGACCAGTTTGGTCTCGTGTGCTGTTACGGGTATGAGGGCGGTTGTCACTTCCCGGCTGCCTACACAGTGGAAAAGTTTTTATGAGGAACCTGAAAAGGAAGGTAGATTAGCGTTGGTCTGAACGACCTGGGTGCGTGACCGCAGAGCCCAAGGGACAACTGCTTGAGGCCGGCCACGCACGGCCTTTTTATGAAAGGTTTTTCGAGTATTAGCTCCGCTCTTAAAAGCCCTTAGTGGGGCACCCTTACCGTTGGAGACGGATATGTGTGAGGTAGGCTGAGGTGTGACATTTTTAGGGTCGACCTTTTCTAACCCCTCCTTCCTTGTGAGAAGGCAGCATCGCTGCAGATGCTGGTTGTCCGAGGGAAACACCTTACTGCTGTCACACTCCTCTGCAGTCAGTCAGCAGTACGATTTCGTGCTCAGATCTATTCAAAATGTATACGCATAAATTTAAGTGAAATCATTGCACGTCATCATATTGATCGTATCCAGGATTATAATGGGAATGAATTTCATGAGAATCAATTTCTGTGATGGAGTTTTATTCGCTGAGCTGTATGTTTTGGTTGTGGAGCTTTCGTTATCTTTCAATGCGTTCAGAAGAACAATGAACCTCCAAAACCAAAACATCCACCACAAGCATCCATCTGAGCCGTAACATCAGTCAGTCAGTCAGATGCAACGTAGAACTTGGTACGTAAGAACATCAGTTCATGTTGTCGTAACATTTTCACCACCATCTCAGAATAGATTTCTGACTAATAAACATTAACATCATTCGATACCGACACAGTCAGTGGTCAAAAGGTTAAGCGATTGCGCTCGAGACCAAAGGGTTTGTGTTCGATTTCTGCATGGAAGGTTCGGGGATGCTCGCCATTAATGAGTCTCAAACTAGAATGAAACAGCCGTCAAATTCTTCCATGTTTCTAACTGTAGTCTAACTGAGATCAGTTCATTATTTCAACTAGAAAAAACAATGAATAAAAACCTAGTCGAATGATAGAGAGAACAGAATTTCCAAGAGTAATATAAATGAGTTATATTAAACGGATTTTTGCATAGTAAACATGGGATATTCACGATAACAAGTACAAGAACCATTATAAGCACTGAAACGCGCATTTGTTTTATTGGTTATTTTATATTGTATAATAATAATAATGAGACAGATATAAAGCTTTCAGTGATCCATTATCTAACTCTGGTTTTTTTTAAAACAGTTAGTTAGTTCTATGAATTTTGTTAGAACAGTCAGAAGACGTAATTGATCTGAAGATTGTACCCTGGTAATCTTTAAGTCTAGGGTGATTTGACAATTTTCCTACCCTTTCTTATTCTTTGCATATTACGTCAATTTTCTCTCTTCTTTATTTACAGTTATCGACTAATGTCTATTTGACCTTTTATTAATCCTTATATAAAATGCCTTGACCAGATTAGTTCGAAATGTATAGGGCGCAAATACATCACATTTTTCGGATCAATCACGTCTTCTTACTGTTCTGGGTTGTTTTTTTTGAAGAACAATTTAGTATTCTATGAAAATAATTATTCCGATTAATTTCGTATATTATATTATATGCCTACATCATCTACATATAAATCTATGGTTATACATATGAATTTTCAAAGCTTATTTATTTATTAGCAAAGCTATAAAAGTAACTTGTTTACCCAAATACTCAATTTTGCCTCCTTCTATTTCTGTCGGAATTGAAGTAAATGGAACAAGGTTCGAAAACTTAGATCATTTTATTAAAAAGTTGAATTTATCACTGATAACATAGGTCTAACCACCGACTGCCTCATCGAGCGATGCTTTGCAATGTAGGAGTAGGGTGGAAGAAAGTTAGGGGCAGCCAAACCAAAACATGGCAGAAATCCATGAGGTCACTAACAACTCGACTAAGTCATGTTGATAAATGTGGACTATCTAGTTGGGGCCCGAGAGACGACAATATTCGATGGTCAGAGACCCTGAATGACATGGCTGAAAACCGTTTGCAATGGCATAGGTGCATTCATTTTTTGTGTTCTCTCAAATCCTAAGCTTCTGAATTCCTCATCACCTCTATCTTTCTCTTTCTAAAGTTTTGTGGCTGAATTATACTTCTTGAATAATATCCTCGAATCCTAATCTCTCCGATTACTGCAAGACTTCTACTATCTCTGGCAGTATGGGATTTGAATTGACAATTGCGTCTGTGTGCTAATGTGGTATGGCGATCTGAACTAATGTACTTACGTACGAAGTTCTGCGTTGTATCTGTCTGTCTGATTTTGAAAACAGTCCATTGTGTAAATATTTCATCCACTTCCTATATTTTTTTTCAAGTTTTTTCCCTAAAATTTCCTCGACCAACAGAATGTGATAATTGGAAGGAATCGACAGAAAACCCTGGACTTAGGTTCTATTTGTCACTTGTCAGCAAGCTGTTCCTGTAAACTTAAAGGAACTAACTGATATTCTCTAGCATATTCAATCTCGTATCATCTTACTATACATGATCAGATATGTTATCACTAAACTATCCGAAATAAAACTGACCTCCTGTAGTACCGAAAGATATCATCGATTGATCACTGTTTTATGACCAATATCATATGTTCAAGTGCTGAGTGAATTGTATTCTCATCAGGTTACAATTCGGTCACTAATATTTAATCAATATTCAACACTGTAATTGGATTGAAAATCGATGTTTTTTCAAATAGTATTTATTTCTGTTTTTTTTTAATTGACTGATTGATTCTAGTTGTCGACGTGATATTCCATTAGATAAATTGATTCCTTTCAAAACAAGTGTTATTATTGTATTTCATAATGAAGCTTGGTCAGCTTTATTACGTACTGTTCATTCGGTTCTTGATCGTACACCAGTACAATTACTTCATGAAATTATACTTGTCGATGATGCCAGTACTCAGTGTAAGTATTCAATGCTGTTTCAATTACATTTTCTAATTCCTTATCAATTTTGTTGTTATTGATGATGTACTGAATTGTTGGGTTGTAAAGCAATGATCACGGAAGACAGTGTATGAAGTTGCTCAAGACCGTGAATTGATCGAAGTTAAACATTAACACCGTTAGATACCGGCTCAGTGATCCAGAGGTTAGGCCTTCACACTCTAAGACGAAAGGTCCTGAGTAAGAATCCTGCGAAGTGCAGGAGTTGTGGATGCTCTTTGCCACTGATGAGTCCCATACTAGGATGAAACGGTAGTCTTTCAGTGCTTCCAGGTTTACAGTGGTTCGTCTAACATGGATCGATGCATGATTTCAAAAAGGGTTGTGAAATAGGAGGAATACCAGTTTTGCAATCAATAGAGTGGCTTTCTCACTAACATTGCAATGATTAGTATTTTGATTTCTTTGGTACTTTTATCTTGTGAATTGTAATTTTTGAATTTAAATTTTATTTTAATACCATGGTGCACATAAATATTTTTGCGCCGAACAAATTATTGAATTTTTGGATGCGGTAGAATACTGCCTGGACGCCAGAACCAAAGGAGATCTTTTTTTTTTAGGGGGGTACCACCAACTGCGCCTTTGACCCGAAATTCGAATTCACAAGTCAGCAGGCAACTTCAGGAGATGCAGTACCATGGTAGCCGATGAACAATAATAGGTTCATACGACATTTGTTCCGTCAGGATCCGGGAGACTACTGGTTTGAAATCAGGGTTTTCTAACCCCTGTGTGTTAGATCCCCCATACCCGCCGACCTGGTTTAAAAGCTGTCCGGACTTTCGCTTTCTTTCTCTCACTTTCGTAAACAACACCTCGATGATGAGAAGAGAGCGAACAGAACTTCCCTGTCAGGGACTATATACGTATGACCACTTATAAGAGAACATTTTTAAGAAAAGAGAGCGGACTTGCTGCACTCTCAACCGTACCATAGCATTTGGGGTTGACTCCTGCTCTGGGAGTCGAACCCAGGCCACCGCTATGTCGCACAGTTGTACTAATGCATTGAGGCGATTTAGATTAACATACATTATTTGTAAGCAGGCTTAATGTTATAATTAAGACTTAATAACCAACCGATTGTGAATAAACATTGATAGGAATATGAAAAGTAAATAAGTGAGTTTTTCGTGTAATTCTGAACGTACTGGTCTGAATAATCATAATGAGTTAATTTAGTCGGACATATTTACTACTAAATTCCGTCATATTGTTATTATTGACCAATCACACCTCGTTCTTTTTTGAAATCGAAACGAATTAACTTCATGTTACTATGAATCGATTGTAATGATAGACATGTATTTATAAATCTTATTACACTTTGCTAAATTTCATTATAGACAGTTATTTTATAATACAAACAAACGTATAGTACAAACTTAATCACTCCATGTCATTCACAACCTTGACCATTAAAGATTATTGAAATCAATGAAATCGATCAATGTTAGACCACCATTTCAGGTTTCTTTCTAATGCTAGTAGTCTAACATTGATCAATTATTGATTTGACTGACAATCAATAATCTTCACAATTGTTTATTGAAGATTATTTCAAGTAGGATTTCTTTATCTTTATTCTCAAAAACTGACACATTTCGATATATTCCTAATAGTTCTAATCAGTCAGTGCGCTACTTACTTACTTACTTACGCTTGTTACCCCCAATGAAGCCTAGGCCGTCGACCAATATTCTTCAACTTACTCTGCCCTGGTCCTCCCTTTCCAATTTTTATTCATTCTTCTCATATCTGTCTCCATTTCTCGGCGTAATGTGTTCCTTGACTTTCCTCTTTTCCTTTGACCTTGAGGGTTCTAAGTGAGGGCTTGTCTTGCAACACAGTTGAATGCTTCCCACATTGTTTGTCCTATCCACTTCCAGTGCTTCTTCATGATTCCTTACTCCACTAGAATCTGGTTTGTCCGTTTACTATTTAACTCGATGTAATTGCAAGCGAATCAAATGCTAAACCAAGTTCAGTTTCATAAAGCTAGGAGCGGTCAAACCAAAAGATAGCACAATTCTATGAAATCACTGACAACTGGACTGAGCCATAATAGTACGTGTAGACTAGTAACTGGTAGTTAGCAACTTTGGATGACATAGTTCAAGATCGTTTGCTATGGTGCAAATGCATCCATTGTTTGTCTTCTCTCAAGAGCTCAGGATCCGTTCTTATCTTGTTTTAAATTTATTTCACTGGATTATACCCTCTTGAACAGTATCTTCGAACCGTAATCCTATTCATTACCTCTAACACTTCTACTACATCTGCCACTGTGCGATTTGAATTGATAATTTTATCTCTGTGATATGACTATTTGAACTGATATACGTATGTACGAAGTTCTACGTTGTAGTTGACTGACTGACTGAATTTGACCACTTCTCTCATGTTACTCATTATTATGTGTATGTTGGAGTGAGATTTGAAAAGTTATATTAAAATTTTAAGGAAAATATTGGCAGTTGATAATTTTTTTCCAAACTAAATAACCAGTAAAGAAACTTGACAAATAAACTGATAGTCCAATACAATATTCTCACTAGCGACTAATAACTTCGTGAGGAGTTCTAATAAGAAGACGTGACCAGTAGAGTTCAACCCTGTTGATGAATGTATGCAGTAACTACCGAACACGAATAGGTAAGGTCGCGCAAAATGCCTAGATTGATCAGAGTTAGACATCAACACCGTTAGATGCTAACCCAGTGGTCTGGAGAGGTTAGGCGTGCGTGCGTGCGTGCGTATTATCAAAGTTCCTGGTTTCGAATCCTACGCGTGACAGGAGTCGTGGTTGCGTGCTGCCGATGAGTCCCTCCATTACCAGGATGAAACGGCCGTCAGTCAGTCAGTCAGTTGCGACGTAGAACTTCGTACGTATGTACATAAGCTCGTGTTGCCATACCACATTAGCACAGAGACGCAAATGTCAAATCAAATCCCATAGTGATAGAGATAGTAGAGGTATTAATGTTAATGAGAAGACTAGGGTTCGAGGATATTATTCAAAAGTATAATTCAGTGAGATAAGCTTAGAAAGACAAAGGTAGATGTGCTGACGAATGCAGAAGTTTAGGATTTGATAGAGCACAACGAATGGATGCACTTGCGCATTGAAAGCAATTTTGAGCCATGTCGTTCAAGGTCTCTAACCATTGGTGACTTTCGTCTCGCGGACCCCAACCAGGTAGTCTGCATCTACCAACATGACTCAGTCCACTTGTCAGTGACTTCATGGATTTCTGCCA